GAGGATCCCCAGAAAGTCTGGCCTGGTTTGGTGAAAAAAAAAAAAAAAAAAAAGCATGTGAGGAAAAAAAACAAGTGAAAGTTAAGATGAGTACATACAAAAGAAGTTGACATTAACAAGCATTCAAACCCTGAGACTGGCAATAATAACGTATAGTTTCTACTATGAGCGTTCAATTAACATTAAAAAAGTTTGGCTGGATATAGTCTAGCGCTTCTCATAACCAAGTAATAATGTCTTTTAAAAGCATGATTTTTAATTCTTTACCTCATTCAAGCACAAATGTGCCAGTATTATGTGTATTTAATACTGGGGTGAAGAAAACAAGAAAATGACCCTTCCCTACCCCAAGGCTTTTGTTTTGCTGAGGTCTTGCAACACTGGGATGAGAGCAGTAAGTTCAGTTTCTATTCTGGAATTCCTGCCCTTTCTGTCATGAAACTGCTACAAAACGGGCTCTTCTAAGAAACCTAGATTTGTAAGATGAGTGTCCCTTTTCAAAGAGGAGATCTGAAAAGGGCACTGTAAATATCTGTGTGCAGCACAAGACCCCCCAACTCTCCGGTTAGTGCGGCCACCTTACCGTGCAGAACGAAAGCGAGTGACATCGCCTCTGGGGAACGTGTAACACTTGATATTGGAGGTGACAGAGGCAGAAAGCGGTGGCGGCGCCTCTGCCTGTTTCACAGCCTGGTGTTCACCAGGCGCTTCCTGGGACGCGCCGTCCTCCCTCCCTGCTTGTTCTGCAACCGGATCCCGCTGCAAACGCTGGACCTTGTGCAGGGCTTCAGAAATAAAATCCACGGCATTTAACAGCTCCAGCTCTTGGGTGACGCGGCCAACGTCCGCAAAGTTGTTGACGAGGGCGCCGTACTTCTGCTCGGCACGAAGGCTGAGGGGGTTTTCTGCTCGGACAGAAGGCTGACGCGGATGGAAGGCCAGGCGTCCTTAAACTGCAAGCTGTAGTTCATGTCGAAGTTCTGCAGAGCCAGTCGCGTGGCCGGGACGCGGGGGGC